ATGGATGAGTGGGAAGTAATTAACTTTGAAGTCACGATTTCCGAACAAACTTTGCTTCACACAGGGATGCATAAGAGATGAGAACACCCTCCGTCCTGTCAACTGTTCTGCGCAATTGCCAACCGGGCCGCAAGTTACGGCAAGCACGGAACATGCATTAACAGGTCTTCGGGTGGCTGCAAGGCGGTATCAAATCGGCCAGGTGGAGAAATTTACGCCCAATTCACAAGTCGCAAGCAAATTTTGCTTCGCATAAAATTGCACGAGGGATGAGAATATCCTGGCAAATGTTTTTTCAAACGAGCAAATATTCAAGAAAAGCACGAAACAGGCATTGCGGGCAAATACATGATCGTCATACAAGCAGAGATAAAATGTACAAATGCACATGAGTCGTACATCAATAGCTGATGAATTGGTTGCCAACACATCAGTCAGGTACAGAAGCTGCAAATTCGGCAACAACCTGTTCGCATTGCCGGGCATTGACGGGTACAAAGATGTTGCAGGCAGCTGAACTAATGCGTTTATCTGTATTCCATATCCAAGAGGCATATTCACATATTGTTATGGTATAACAAAAAGTAAAAGTACACCGGTATGTATATGTTCGTTCAACTGGTGAACAATTATCATAATGATAATTTAGAATCGAATCAATGATTATTCACATCTTATGATCTAACGGTTGCTTTCCTACTTGCTTTATCGTGACGTTCGTATTCTTTGGAAAAGTCACAAGAAGATGTCCACTTGAATGTACTAGTCATAGATGTTCTGTGATACTAAATGAATGCTTCTGTTGGATTCATTTCTTTCCAGCCTTACCTTTGATTTGTCCTGTGTTGTAACATCACAACGCTGGGATTAAAAAAAAAAGAAATCACCTACCTCAGCGCCTACCTCTTACCTGTCGCACACTGCGAAGACTCTGTTCTTTCCAATAGTCGCGGCAACCTAACGACGGAGTTACAGTTGTACCCGTATAAAGCAATACAGCTAATCATGCTCAGCCAATGGCAGCGCTCCTCTACCCGAGCCCCGGCGGATGAATATGCTAACGTTGCCGCTGGATCGTGACGCTGCGTCCTTGGACACAGTAATAAGACGATTATTGACTGAATTGGTTTACGTGCATGTCCATCAAAGTGCAGCGAGGGTATGTTTGTACAAGGTTTGCAATTAGCGGTCCTGTATCTAGTTAATTTCTTAGTATATAGACTGTGGCCAACATTTAGGTCAGGGAACTCTAGGTCGTCCCATCACTGGTGGAGGATTTGATTTCAGCTATAATGGAGGCATGAGTGTGACCATTACTTGCACTGATTGAGTGATAAAATGTGTACATGTAAGCACTAACGTGTAGATAAAACATTTATGTTCCACTTAACTTGAGCCCATGTAGCACACAGTCGAATATGGCCTCACGAAGACTGCGGACCCCTCTCCCAACCATGGTTAGGAGTACATGCGGGTCGGGAGCAAGTTGGGCTGATGTTGCAATTGGCTGGTGTTCGGTCATAATTTACAGGGATGGCAGTTAAACAGTAATGTCATCAGCTCTCCTATATCTAGTTAATTATATAGACTGTGGCCAACTCTTACCCCAGGCGACTCTAGGCCGTCCCAAGAACTGGTAGAGGATTTGATTTCCTTGGTAAACACTACTTCATTTCAGCTTTAATTGAGGCATGAGTGTGTCCATTACCTGTACTGATTGGGAGATAAATGTTTTATCTACACGTTAGTGCTTACATGTACACATTTTGTGTTTCAGTTAACTTGGGCCCCCGCAGTCGGATATGGCCTCACGAAGACTGCTTGCAATTGCCTGGTGTTCGGTCATATTTCCATTAATGTCGATTCCCGTTAACATCGCTACCAGATGTCGTAATGCATTTCCATTAGACCTGCTGGTAATTTGTTGTATCTGGATGATGTTTTGATTAGGTCCGTACCAGATTAATTGTGATATTTTTGTTATGACAGTTAAAACTTGTAATCTATCTCAATTTTCTGCGTACCTGTCGTTCCAAGGCGCCATGTCGGCTCGTATCTTAGATTCATGTCCTTATCTACCCCGGGCAAGAAAGTACTGCACACATGGGAATACTTCTTCATTCATAAACGTAAAAAACTCTCATAACGCGAAAGTAATTGCGTTCTGTGAAACGTAAGAGGCCAAGATGCTGATGGATTGAGAAAGTTCAATAAATCTGGTAAGCTATAATCACCCATGGGACTCTGCATTAGACGGCTCAATTTCCATGGTGTGGTGGGTATAGCAGGATTCCAAGTGACTCATTTGTAGTGTACGTAATATTTTGCCGAAGAAGCTTTTACGATTTGATACATATTGACATACCGTCCTTTTGTGTTTATCTTCTTGGTAAGTTATTTGCACTACGAGTATTACCAAGAAGGTTTGTATGTAAAAATAGAGTACGTGGTTAGAGGAAGTCCTAATGGATTTAGCCGGAAGGTCTAATATAAGTACCGTGCTATTTTTACATGTTGTGAGTAAAAGCTAGTGATTTACGACTCTCATATACATATGAAGGTAGTTATACGATGATGTTTTTGAAAGTCTTCTTACAAGGCCATAAGCGTCAACTAAATCTGATGAGACTGCTCCCGACCTTCACTGAGCCAACTTTGGATTGTTAGTGTCCTCAGGAAGGTTCTGGATGTGAGACAGGGGCTTTACCTTTGAAATAAGGCCAGATCCATAAACTGACTGTCACTGTGCAGATCCAAACAACCCTAAAGAACAACCCTAAGTTTTGTTGGCATTAATCTGCTAGTTTTGAATTGCAATGACGGAATTTAGATTTTATTTGTAAGACGCGTCCCTTCTAATGTTCCCAAAGCTTTTCAACAACAATTGAATGTAACTATACTTAATGCTGCATACTCTACATATCTAAACTCCTAAAGATGATAGGATTGACAGACTTTAAAATGCCATGCAAGTAGCTGTTGTTTCTACAACTTCTCATCTGGTATTTCGGGCAATTGTGACTTTCAATAAAAGTGTCGCCTCTGCTTTTTCATTTCCGTCGCTTTAATCTAAGAGCAGACGAGACGTTGTGTAGAGTGTCCTTTCTAGTAGACTTGGTTACAACCTGCTACATGCGCTACTCATTCTTCAAGGTGCGTTTGAAGTCAGGTAAAGTGGCACTGCTGCATGTAGGACACTTGTAGGTCAGTTTTCCACTGGCCTAATTGGTAGGCGGGTTGTCCCTGCGGCTTTTATGTGCAGCAATGAATCTAAAACACAGTAAAATATCACCTCCGGTAATCAGAGTACCAAATTGATTCATTACATCACTTGGTGTAATTTCCTGCTTGGTGTCTTCGCATGACAAAAAATTAGGTCAGTAGAAATTAGTTTATAAAACATGTATTCTTGTCACACCCACGCACAGTTTTCACAGGCTACTTATTACTGCATTCTGTAGGAAAATGCTTCGCATAAATGCCTTATATAACACTCTATTCATACCACTGATTGAACAATTAGTCCCTATCATCATCAATGATGATGTTAGTCCCTATAACTGACCATATATATTTTGGTTATTGGAAGTCGAATTCCTTTTAATTGCTCTTAATAAGCAGGCCATCCGTTAAAAGAATTTTGTGACGTCTGCGATCAACCAAGCGACACTTTTGTGGTTTACTCGAGTCTACCATGACTTGTTCAGAAGGTCGTAGTTTCCAGTCTCTACGCTGCATTATGTTTGACCCATCCTAGAAACAGGATTAATGCTTTTAAGAAGAAATCTGGCTGGAGGCCAATATGAGAATAGTTGGTTGGGTGGCGTGAGTGTGATGATGATATATATGTGCTAACGCTGCAGGAGAAACATTGCAATGTCACTGCACGAAAAGTTGGACTTACCAAGAGGTAGTAAATCAGGTGGATACTGTGTACTAGTATAGTAGTGTCTGGCTTTACAATGGTAGTAAATAAAAGTCAAGTCCGATAATTTTATCTCGACCTTGTGAAGCCTGGAATAAGCATAATTGACTTCTATTTACTACCATTTTAAATTGAATCAAATTAAATTAAAGTCCAGTAGTGTTTATTAAAAAAACAAAGTAAACACTACCCAACTTTACTGGTATTTACTGACATTGGTAAATCTACGTTTTGGTGCATTATGTGTCAGGTCAAACAGGAGTGCTATAGACAGGCCTGACGCACAGGACGGGCATAACAACGGGCCTGAGCCCTGACGTTAGTGCAAATTACTTCCTGTCCGTAACACCCAACGTGATAGTCAGCCCAAAGCCGGGGGCTTGGTTAGAGGTACTCGGCCTCATCACCACATCGTCTCATCATCGCCCCAATGACGCATTTCAATACCTTTCAAATTGAGCAGTCCGAAAACAGCAATGATTGTCTTGTTATATGCGGCCCCTCAAGTCATCAAGATGTCAACGGACTGCCAAAGTCAAACACCCACTATGTGTGCTGAAGGTCGACGACGTAATCTTTTCATCAGTGTGGTGTAATTACATTAGGTGGATGCGATTTCATTTCGGACAGGTTTTCTTGATAGGATGGTTTAAGGAACCATTCCCACTGACAATCTACGGCTTATGTACGGACAACCCATTAAGCTCTACCATTTATTGCTTTGGGAGATTGCAAAGGTAGGCAGCGTTTCTTTCTTCTCTTTTTTGGCCACACAAGACCTTAGACCTTAGTTCCTCCTGTGCCTGGTGTCACATCGGGCAGCAAGCTTCCAAATTCTTTTATCAACTGACTCTGCTTCCTCCCAGGGAATATTCACCAGAACGTACCTAAAATTTCCAAAGTCAACGACTTGTTGCTGATGTACAATCTGCTACTTTCCTGCATGTGTGGATATGTCGATGTGGAATTCGTGTGACACACGGTTAAGGACACACTAGCATTTGCCCACTTAAGTTGTCGCCAGCTGTTCACTACGCTATGCTAACGATCCTCTGGAGCCCAGAGAAGTCGTGGTCTAGCGGCGTTCATTACATCCATCAATCCCCGGCCCGTCCCTCAGCCCCAGGCGCTGGTGCCGAACTGTCTGAAACGGTACGCAACAACAGCTACTGCAAGGTCGAACCAAACGATCCGGTAAGGTAGCCATTCTGGTCATATCATTTCCGACCTAGACCCATTTTTTCTACATTTGCCAAATTGATAAAATCGTGTGCTTCCTTTTTGCTTTAACATTTATGTTTTAATGTTTATGATAGGTTGATATATATAATTGAAATGCTCTCCTTAAAAATCATATACCTATCATTCTATTGTACATCTATATGGCTGCACATCAAGAGGTTGAACCTGCAATGGTTGAGATTTCAACTGTAATTGACACTGCGTTACATTTAAAGCAATTTTACTGTTGGCAATGCCTTCGCACAGCATCAATCTCACACTCACAGAAGAACCTGCAAGCAAAGAAGCATCTAACTCACTTAGACTTAAGACTCCCTCACGGTGTCTGTAACCACAGCGGACCCAAAGTTTATCGCCACTAATTCGCAAGTCTTTCATCTTCTTTCCAAGAAATGCTGCTCCTGGACATCCGCACTGACTGCAAGAATAATGTTTGCTGGATTCATCCTAGAGAGAATTGTAACGTCATTCGCGCTGACGCCACTGGTATAAAAACTAATGCGTGTTCCATTTCTATACACCGGCATGGACGTCACTCATTACTATATCATAGTAAACCAAGTCAGATCTTGTGTAAGATAACCACTCAGACTGTACCGACGCTACAAGCAGTATACATGATGAAGGGCTGAACATATTCACCCGAAGATGTTTTGCTGCAATCCAACTGATGTAGTAATCATATGCCCACGGTCCACAAAACCCGTTTTACAAAGTTAGGAAAGTACGTTTTTGAAATGTCAGCATGTTTTAATATCACTGAGTGTCCTTGATACTATGTTACTTTAAACATGGTGGTTAGTCGGTGAAGAATAACGGTTGTTAA